ATTATTATATATAGTTATAATATGTGGATTGCAAATATAAGATGAAAAATATTTATATATACAATAAATAGAAATGGACAAAAATAGAACACTTCCGTTTCTAATGCGATAAATAGAATTATAAATAATATAATTCTAAACAAAATCTTATACATACTAAAAATATACGAGTACATATCAGTGATATAAGGTGAAAATTATATGCAATTATATAGTGACCGATGTATATATAATAAAAAAAATAAGCAATTTTGTTCCTAAAATAAGCCATAACGTAATGGCTTATTTTTAAAATAGCAGGGTTATATCAATAGCAGGGTTGTACAGACCAGATAAGATCGTGGATCTATACAAGTCACTGAATAGGTTAGTGGGCTGCAGAAATAAATACATACGTTCATAATTTATTTGGAGAAAAATAAAATTACGGCGATATTAATAATTTAGTTTTGTAAATTCTTAATTAACTTACCTTTAACAATTCCATCACCAAGATGGCTTAAAACACTGCGTAAACCTTATGAGGATATCGCGCATGCTGCACTTACTTGGAACCACCGGGAAATAGGTTAAGAGGCAGACCAGCAATAACCTGGAGAAGGGTAGTTCAGCAGGTGAAATTATTAAACGAGTTGACAGCAATGGCACAAAATGAAAACCAGTGAAAAACTTTTGTAGACTCCGAAAGCTTCTATGGGGTAAATAATATCATCAGTAGCATTATTAATATTAGTTGTTGTCATACGAAAAATATTTCATTTTTAATGTAACGCTAAATTATTGTTGTACAAGGAAATGTATACTAAAGTCTTTGTCAAAACCTAATCATATGTATTATTAAATATATGTTTTCTTTTATTATTGTTATTTTTCAAACACATTATTTTTGAATACATATACTATGTACAGTCAAATCTCTATAACGAAGTCATTGATGCCAGTTATTTTTTGTTGTTTGGACATTTCAACTTTTCCCTTGTCAAGAAAAGCATCCAACAAGTTAACAGACTTGAAAATTTAAAATAATCTCAACTCAAATTTTTGAAAATAATAGAGTCAGCATCGCGACGCGATTCTGCAAATGTACTTAATTTAACAATGTCTTAATTTTGTATTTGATCTGAATCTATTAATATTAAAATTATTATGTGGTAATGTTAGATTAATTAATCTGTTTCTTTTATTTTTTTCGTGATTGTATCATTGTCAACATTAATAAAATCGCCCAGAGATACACCGATCATATCAACGGTGCATCTCAATAATAGTTTTTAAGATACATGCAATCTTCATGCATTCCTCCCTATTATAAACTAAATAACATATACACAACCTCAAACCGATTTTGACACAGCTAGCATATAAAGAAGTTTTCCATAAGTTAAAACGTTAGAGGTATTTTTGTATGCAAAAATTTGTTATAGAGAGGGTCGCTATAAAGAGGTTCAAATATAAAATAAAAATTTTAAATTCGCCGAAAATAACTTTATTTGCCAAAGATGATGAAAATGTCTATTAAATTCGGTACATGCAAATATGAGTTGTAAGTAATTATTTTAATGCCAACTCCGTCTTTTTATCTTCTACACTATTTTTCAACTCAATACTCTAGAAGCAATTCCGATGACGGCCATATATTAAAATTCCAATGTCATTGTCTGAAAAAATAGATAATACCTTAATTTATATGTCAAATCAATTCTTATTATTCAATATATTATTAAACAAAACTAAAAGCACTTAATTTTAAATTTCTCTTGCTACTTCACACTTACATCCTGGTCCGTCCTGCAGTAGGCAATCACTGCGTTTGTAAAGTAAGTAAAACTTTCAATGTGTTTGACAATTGAACCATCAGTTTATAATTTCGAATGAACTTAGTTATCATATCCAATGTTTGTAACATTCGTTTGCCTACATTAACCTCTAAATGGAACTATGTTTTCCGAATCTGTCATTGTTTGATTGGGTAAACAAATGTCTGCAGTATACTCAAATTATTTAAGTTAAAGGGATGGGATCCACTTCTGTTTATGACTCAACATTTGATTTGTCAACTGCCGATACAAAGAAGATAGGTGATAAAATACAACCATATATTGCAAAACTATTTACATCAGATGGATCCGAAAGTAGTACCTAGATACATACCGCAACTTGGAGTGGTCGGCAAATAAATGACTTATATGACCATTTAACGCATTTTTCATATATATATATATATAGGCCTTTTACGTAGATATAGAAACTTGTTTCATTAATCGAGTATTGTCCATATGGTGATAATTTGATCTAATTTTAAGCTGGTTTTGCTAGAGATTTGTAGAATAGTCATTTCGGTTTAGTCACAGCATTCCACTACTCTTCTTAAAAATTAAATATTCCATCACTCCATCACTTCATGACTCCATTCCAAAATCAAGAGGCAAGTAGAAGTCAAGAGGTCTGGTGCAATACACTATAAAATTTCAAAAGGAATCAGAATCACTTGTTCCATTAAAGTAATTTAACATATCAATACAATTTATAAAGTATATAGTTTTTAATAAATCAAAATTCATAAAAAAAATGATATAGGAGTAAAAGCACAGTTAAGGAAACTTATTAACAGTAAATTTAATCAAATTTATATGTAGGAAAATATATATAAATATCAAACAAAAGGAGATTTATAAATATAGTAATATACATACTATAATTAATTTATTTTATATATATTATTTTATATATATTATTTTATATATATTATTTTATACATATTATTTTATATATATTATTTTATATAAAATAATTTCCTTATATGTTTTCAAATAAATTAAGATCCATCATATTGTCATGCGAAACAACTAATAAACGTATAGATAATTAATATAACAAATTCAATATATGAAAGTCAAGTTCAGCAATAGTTTTGATTTCGTCTCAACAAACAGATGAATCAATTTAAATAAAAGAAGAATTATAATTATAATAATACGTTTAATTACTTTTAAATAAATCATTTCATATGCAGTACTATATGGTATACTCTTCTTAAAAAATTATCGGAACTGAATTAAATTAAAGGAAATTAATTATTATAGTAACATATTTAATTATACTATTTTACCTGCAGTTCAGCTGATAATAGTTCCAATTTAATCTCTACGGCCAACAAATCCAACCATTTGCTTTCTACTTAGGAATATCACAATCGTATAGCTATGGAGAAACACAACATGCTCCATTTGTTCAGTTCCATTTATTTCTCTCATAACTGCATCATTAACAATATAATGAATCATAGACCATGTTGATACGTAAGGCAGCTAATATATGATATATAGAGTTAATTTAATATATTGTTTCATTAGATATATAGACTAAATGTACAATATGCAAAAGTTTACAGATATGTTTTAGGATCTTACGTGAAGAATGCGTTTGCTTGAAATTCTATATATAAACTCCTATTTTATGAAAACAACTCCAGACTTATGCCAAATTTAGCTTGTTGAAGATAAACGGCGCTGAAAATACATTTAAAGACTATTATTAAAAAAAATATTCTTATTTAAATGTTTAATGGAACATATTTATATTTATAAACATAAAATTATATAAATATAAAAATTATATTTATTTTTCTTTATTTATATAGAGAAACCTGTTATTTGTTTATTTTTTTTTATATACATTTTTCTATATATAATTTTCGGATGTACGAAACTACAATGCTAAAACGTTTTTACCAAAAATGTATGTCTTCAGCTTCAATCTTTTTTTTTGCTCACACTCATATGTGTTATAAAAATTGACGACTCTCCACAAGGCTTTCATTGTATGATAACTATTATTAAGAACTTCACACGAATACCTAAGTATGGAAAACGCATAACAGGATTAATAATATCAGAGTCCCCTAAAGGCTTGCATCCTAAATCAGAGCTCATATTGAATCACTTTTTACAAGAGACCTTATTTTTGATAGAAGTAAATTTTTGATAATTGATGCTATTGATGTTGAAAAACCTTAAATTTATTGTATCTTTCTTTCGTATTATCCTCGAGGAACTCAAGTCGATTATTTTGACTATTTCGTTGCATTTGTGTATTATTATCAAACCTGATCTATAAATTATTGTGAAGTAGAATAATTAATTTGATCTTAATTGATCCGTTCACTTGATTGTTAATTAATTGAATTAATACGAGGAGAACATTTACTACAACGGCAACTGAGGTTATTTACTGCTTCTATTATGACTCCTTTAAAAGTAAATGTGTCTGCCTTTTCTCAAAAGTTTCTATTCTAATTTTACCACTACTATAATTGACAAATGCGGATAAAACGTAATTCTAATCTTTACCCTAATATTCGTAATAATTTGTTTTACAAACGCTTTCGAATAGTCGTATTCAACTTTTAAAAGAATTGTTCTTATTTCGGTCTTCGTATTTCAAACTCAATGTCGGAGTGGTGAGGTTTGATATAACAGATGGACTGGTGATATTTGTTCGTTATTCACTCTTAGTCTATTTCTATATATGCATATTAATAAGGCTATGTGTCGACTACTAGGTTAGTATTTCTTTTGTCCCATATGTGCTTCAATGCTTTCAACGAAGAAGCAAATTCTGTATAAAAGAACTTTTCTTAATGTATCTTATGACTTACAGCAATTGGTACTTTTATATGAACACGTCGTTATATGACTATTGCATGTAATAAGGTTTCTTAAAATCTTCTTACAGATCTATTAATATGTATATAATAAGTACTTACCAATATGAATAGCTGTTACTGCGGCAATGAAAAATAGAAGGCTCTTTTGCTTAGTATCGGTTACATTTTCGTATTGCTCGTTTTCAGATTCTTCAGATTCTGAATATTCATACATATTGGCAATTATAAATTTAGAAGACTAACCTCAACTGCGAATTTTAAATTTTGAAACATACATCTAAACAATATTTTATTTATACATTTTGTTTGATATAATTTATTTGAATTATTTTAAATTTTTTGTTTAATTTTTCCGGCTTACTGTGATTTTATTTTATATGTTATAAACCCACATAATCCGAACTCCTGCCCATCTTATCAACTATGATGAGCCATAAAGAAAGGGGTCAATAAGTAAAACTAGAGTAACCAAATAGATGAAAGTAGATGCCGATGTAAGAAATGACATCATTATTAGCCTACGGCAAATACATATATAATATATGAATGTCTCAAGTTTTGAAACTACGTTCGTTTGCTATAGCAGCTGAGGACCTCATTGGTATCCACTTATATGGAATGCGGTACCCAGTATTTTTAGTTTAGTCGTACGCATTATTAACTTTTGGGTACTATACTCAGATATCGTATAATCATGTGTTGAGATGTGTCCGTTATTATACTTTCCACTTCAGTTATAGTTAAGTAGGGACCTATAGAAGTATAAGTTTTAGTAGTTTGCTTCCATGTCATCCAAGATGACAAGAAACGTTTTTAAATTTTTTTTTATAAATTTTTTTCCGGTATAATTGTTTATTTAAATATTTTTAAAAAAAACTCTAATTTATTAATTACATTTAAAAACAATTTATATTTTATTAAAATATTTTTCGGCTATTTCGACTATCTTCCATAGTCTTCTTTAGGGAAACTCTCGAAAATATTGAAAATAGTCGAAATATCGGAAAAATATTTCAATAAAATATAATATGTTATTATATATAAATAATAAATTATAGTTTTTTACTTCTATTTAAATGACCAAGTTTTAAATTATATAATAAATAAATTATTATATAATATTTTTGATCACAATTAAAAAAATAAAATATTTACTATTTGTTTAAATAAATCATTTTTTATTTGATTTTTAGCAAATTTTAATAAAGTCGAATCAAACTATTCAATGTTGAAAATGCCTTTATTATTTCTCGAAGTGTTCTCTTTTCTGATTAATATACTTTTGCATTCAAAGTATAATTTTCAATCTTTTTTAGACACCCCCGCCGACAGAAATCGTTTTCCATGCAGTTTATTCTTGACGTTTGGGAACAAAAAGAAGTCGTTGGGTGCCAAATCTAGACTATATGGCGGATGATTTATCAATTCGATCTTTTGAATGTTCAAATAGTTGGTTGTTAGATAAAATGTGTAAACACTCGCATTGTCTTTATAGAGATGGAAAATGATCCAACTGCGCTTATTTGCTTTTCGTATGTAACTGAAGACTTCCGGTAAACTATTGGTTGTCACCATTCGGAATTTATCGTTTTGAGTTCCTGTAATGATACGGATATAATAGCCACGTGACCAGTTTTCCCTAAAAATCAAGCGACCATTTGTTTCAAAGTGTTTCGAGCGCGAACACCCATACAATCGACTGCTATTTACGTTCCGGCTCAGATATATATATCCATGATTTGTCAACTGTTAAACGCCATTGTACTTCTTGAGCATTTGTGAGCACCAATCGACAAGAGCATCTTTTTCAGATTTTGTCAAATGATGGGGGAACGAGACAACGAGAAAAAACCTTTCTCACGACTAAATGATATTGCAATATTTTATATTTTCTGGTGGAACTGGTGCCTAGGATTTCACCACAACCTCAATCTCACAGTATGCCGCATGACGATCTTGCATAACTTGTATCAGTTTTTGCACAGCATTAATGTTTTCTGGCACCACTTATTTTGGACGACCTTCACGAAGTCGAATTTCGGCAGTGAGCGAATGCAGCCACGATTTAAATCATTGCACCAGTGGCAGCGTTTCAAAGGATAGAGCTTCATCGTCAAATGTGGACGGCAGTTAATCGATGCACTCTTGTTTTGATACTCGTAGTCCACGTCAAAAGTCGTAATAAATCGTCGCACAAAAACTTTCTCGCGTTAATTCCATTTTTTCGCGAACACTCAATTCACATACAAATCACTGTATATAACACGAAACAAATAAACACGAAAAATAATTAAAGGATAAAGTTAAATAAAATAAGGTCATAAATGGAAAGAAATTCGGACTGTATAAAAAGAAAACAGTAATAACAAAGAATAAAAACGGTTGTGAAGGGCCCGAGATAATATTATTATTATTGTTATTAGGGGATGCTGCACTGCGACCGTCGGGTCTATTGTGCCCCCTTCTAGGCTTAGAGTAGGTATTTAAGCCCTGTTACGTCAATAAAAAGTAGTATAGAACCTATTTTACAGAGTTTTATTGCCTCTTTCGTAAGTATATACATTTCTAGTAGCCTATTTCATATGTGCATTAGCGCAGGGCTATCAATTATTTCGTAATAAACTGTGATATTAAAGGGGTGAATTTTGATACCGTCAGTTGATTAGTGGTCAGTCAGCGGTAAGAAAAATTCCAAATGCTAAGTTTTTGAATAGTAAAGCGGTGCTAAAAGAAACATTAAACCTTTTCTTTTTGTATAAATTATATAAACTAAAGAAAGAAAAAAGTGTGTGCAAATTAAAAATGATTGCGATGAAATTTTAAATACTTTCAGTATAAAAATATTCATAACATTACGGGTAAACTTACTCGGGCTAAATTATTGCCAAGACTGCTATGTTATTTTATTGTCAAAAATTAAATTTCCATAAACATTAAATTCGTGCAATCAGAAACCGCGAATTACAAGACAACCACAAATAATTTTATGTGATTAATGCAAAAAAAAAACTTCAAAAATAACTCATCCCTAATCAAACAGAGAAGTCCATTACATCATTAAGCCTGGAAAAGTGGGACCATATGGACAACGGCAACATTATACGCCGTTGGAATAGCGAGACCATGTATGTATAACCATGTATTTCTCCAGTGAATGAAAGTCAAAAACTTACAGATGTTTGAATTCCTACAAATATTTTTTTTTTGTAGTATATTAACATTTAAAAATTTTACCATTAAGAGTTTATTAAAAGAAATAGAAAATATATCAATTTTTAATACAGAGGTTTTTCGAACAAAAATTTATTTTATATTCTTTAAATTAATTAAATTTTTGGCTGATCATACAGGTACAGTTGTTTCGAGTATTGCTAAATACCCATCATCAGAATCGAACTCGTGCCCTGCCAAATTTGAAGCTCAGAGTCAGCGCTCCTTGACCAACTGACTCAAAGCCGTACTTGACTTAAATGTTCGGACATGTTTCTGTAGTTTTGTTACTTTGCTGTGAAAGTTTTATTAAAAAATCACTTGCTGTGTTTATATTAGAAAGAAATCATAAATCAGCTGTAGAATAATTGAATTAATTAATTATATTTTTTTTTAATTGTTAAATTTTAATACTATTCTGTTTGTAGAGGCTTTATTTGTTGCATGATTTATATAGACTTTCTTATGAATGAAACTAATCTAAGAACGTAATACTGAGAAAGTCCTGCTAATGTTACTCAACGAGTCGCACAAGCGACATCAAAATTGTGTAAATATATATTGTTTATTCAACACATAAATTTATAAAAATCAATATTAATTAACACAGTTTAAAAAGTGTAATATATAAAAATATATAAAATTTTAAAAAGCATTTTTATAAACTTATCTGCTGAATAAACGATCTAAGCCCGGTAAAAATATAAAAAACTAATTAAATATCGGTCGTAATACCAATTTAGTTAATATATGTTGTAACATTTAATTAATTTATTTTTTTTTAATATAATTTATCAACCAAATTGCGATTAATTTTGAAAGAAAACAGTAAAATTTAATGCTTATATATAATTGAAATATTCTTCAAGAATAAATGTAAAAATTGATGTATTAAGAATAAATTTAATTGTAAAATAAAATTGAGTTTCAGTGTTTTTTTGAATATATTCGTATACATTGTATATATACAATAATATTAATATTAAGAAAAATTATAGAAAATCAAATGTATTAAAGAAGAAAGCAAGAAATAAAAAGTACATAGGAAAAAGTAGATAATATATGTATTTGGTTCATTTTTCATAAATACATTTTTTTATTGTTAAAAGTTTTAGCTAGATCAACAGCATTATAAATGACGTCATTTCTGCGGCTGTAAGGTAATTTATTAAATCTAGTTAACTAAAGAAAAGTTAAGTATTCTTTACTAAAATTTATATGTTTCCATATATTTTTTATATATGGACTATTTTTCAAAGGTGTATCGGGTGTTGTACCTCGTTTTTCTTAATTTTTTTTTTATTGGTGATTTTTCGATTTGCTCAGATTATTTTTTTATTGCTAAACCTAAGTTTTTTTTTATTTCTAATACAGTTTGCTATTATTAGAGATTTATGATTTTGAAGTTATTTGATATGAAATTTAATTATGGTTTATGATTTTGATTTAGGTTGGTTTAGATCTTATTTAATAGGAATGGCACGATCATTTTTTTCTTGGTTTATGTCTGCTGTGTGCTACTATAACAAGAACTCCACCACATACGGGGCTTGCCACCGTGCTATCAACAGCTATTAGCAACACACAAGGACACGTGGACATAACATAATAAATAAATTTTTAAGAATTTCAAGATTTTTTGAATTTTTACAATTTTTTTTCCGAGGTACAAGTCGAAGAGTCCCTTTATTAGAAGGACTCATTAAAAAATGTCTAATCAAATCGGAGGTGGTAAAGTAAAATCCGTTCCGTTTGTGCAATAATAGCCTATATATATTATTAAGTATATGTTATTTTTCATTATTCTTTTAAACTAATTATTCTTAAATACACATACTATATACCAATGTATACATAAAGTAATACTTTTCCACACATTATTTTTAAGATTAGTTAATTATCATTTTATATTAATTTGTTTATAAGATTTTTCCCTAAAAATTAGTAACAATTTCGTTTATTATCAAACTGATATGAAAAACTTAGTTTTTAATTGCCGAAAATAACTTTATTTGCCAAAGATGATGAAAATGTCTATTAAATTCGGTACATGCAAATATGGGTTGTAAGTAATTATTTTAATGCCAACTCCGTCTTTTTATCTTCTACACTATTTTTCAACTCAATACTCTAGAAGCAATTCCGATGACGGCCATATATTAAAATTCCAATGTCATTGTCTGAAAAAATAGATAATACCTTAATTTATATGTCAAATCAATTATTATTATTCGATATATTATTAAACAAAACTAAAAGCACTTAATTTTAAATTTCTCTTGCTACTTCACACTTACATCCTGGTCCGTCCTGCAGTAGGCAATCACTGCGTTTGTAAAGTAAGTAAAACTTTCAACGTGTTTAACAATTGAACCATCAGTTTATAATTACGAATCAACTTAGTTATCATATCCAATGTTTGTAACTTTCGTTTGCCTACATTAACCTCTAAGTGGAACTATATTTTCCGAATCTGTCATTGTTTGATTGGGTAAACAAATGTCTGCAGTATACTCATGGCCTTTTATGTAGATATAGAAACTTGTTTCATTAATCCAGTATTGTCCATATGGTGATAATTTGATCTAATTTTAAGCTGGTTTTGCTAGAGATTTGTAGAATAGTCATTTCTGTTTAGTCACAGCATTTCACTACTTTTCTTAAAAATTATACATTCCATCACTTCATCACTCCATCACCGCATGACTCCATTCCAAAATCAAGGGGCAAGTAGAAGTCAAGAGGTCTGGTGTAATACACTATAAAATTTCAAAAGGAATCAAAATCACTTCTTCCATTAAAGTTATTTAACATATCAATACTATTTATAAAGTATATGGTTTTCAATCATAATTCATAACAAAGTCGTATAGGAGTAAAATCACAGTTAAGGAAACTTATTACCAGCAAATTTAATCAAATTTATATGTAGGAAAATATATATAAATATCAAACAAAAGGAGATTTATAAATATAGTAATATACATACTATAATTAAATTATTTTATATATATTATTTTATACATATTATTTTATATATATTACTTTATATATATTATTTTATATATATTATTTTATGTATATTATTTTATATATATTACTTTATATATATTATTTTATATATACTATTTTATATATACCTTTATAGTAACAATGCCTTTTAACAACCACTTACACCTCAATTATTGACGGCGTTCTCATCAAGGGTAATTTGTCATTATTGATGTTAATATTACAGTGGATTTATATTTACTGCGACTTTCTAATGGATCGTTAAGTGTTTTTTATAGTGTTCTGCTTCACAGCACGTCACTTGATCGTTGACAATATACGAAATCCAACGGTCCTTACTCCTAAAATAATTTTCTTATCTGTTTTCAAATAAATTAAGATCCATTATAATGTCATGCGAAACAACTAATAAACTTATAGATAATTAATATAACAAATTCGATATATAGAAGTAAAGTTCAACAATAGTCTTGATTTTGTTTCAACAAATAAATGAATCAATTAAAATAAAAGAAATATAATTATAATAATACGTTTAATTACTTTTAAATAAATCATTTCATATGCAGTACTATATGGTATACTCTTCTTAAAAAATTATCGGAACTGAATTAAATTGAAGGAAATTAATTATTACAGTAACATATTCAATTATACTATTTTACCTGCAGTTCAGCTGATAATAGTTCCAATTTAATCTCTACGGCCAACAAATCCAACCATTTGCTTTCTACTTAGGAATATCACAATCGTATAGCTATGGAGAAAGACAACATACTCCATTCGTTTAGTTCCATTTATTTCTCTCATAACTGCATCATTAACAATATAACGAATCATAGACCGTATTGATACGTAAGGCAGCTAATATATGATATATAGAGTTAATTTAATATATTGTTTCATTAGATATATAGACTAAATGTACAATATGCAAAAGTTTACAGATATGTTTTAGGATCTTACGTGAAGAATGCGTTTGCTTGAAATTCTATATATAAACTCCTATTTTATGAAAACAACTCCAGACTTATGCCAAATTTAGCTTGTTGAAGATAAACGGCGCTGAAAATACATTTAAAGACTATTATTAAAAAAAATATTCTTATTTAAATGTTTAATGGAACATATTTTTAAAACTTTTTCAACCTTGTCCAGCACTCTACTTTACAAATATTACACAATTTATATTTGTATTTATAAACATAAAATTATATAACTATAAAAATTATATTTATATTTCTTTATTTATATAGAGAAACCTATTATTTGTTTATTTTTTTTTTATGTACAGTTTTCTATATATAATTTTCGGATGTACGAAACTACAACGCTAAAACGTTTTTACCAAAAATTTATGTCTTCTTTTTTTTTGCTCACACTCATATGTGTTCTAAAAATTGACGACTCTCCACAAGGCTTTCATTGTATGATAACTATTATTAAGACTATTATTACACGAATAACTAATGCATAACACGATTAATAATATCGGAGTCCCCTAAAGGCTTGCATCCTAAATCAGAGCTCATATTGAATCACTTTTTACATGTGACCTTATTTTTGATAGACGTAAATTTTTGATAATTGATGCTATTGATGTTGAAAAACCTTAAATTTATTGTATCTATCTTTCGTATTATCCTCGAGGAACTCAAGTCGATTATTTTGACTATTTCGTTGCATTTGTGTATTATTATCAAACCTGATCTATAAATTATTGTGAAGTAGAATAATTAATTTGATCTTAATTGATCCGTTCACTTGATTGTTAATTAATTGAATTAATACGAGGAGAACATTTACTACAACGGCAACTGAGGTTATTTACTGCTTCTATTATGACTCCTTTAAAAGTAAATGTGTCTGCCTTTTCTCAAAAGTTTCTATTCTAATTTTACCACTACTATAATTGACAAATGCGGATAAAACGTAATTCTAATCTTTACCCTAATATTCGTAATAATTTGTTTTACAAACGCTTTCGAATAGTCGTATTCAACTTTTAAAAGAATTGTTCTTATTTCGGTCTTCGTATTTCAAACTCAATGTCGGAGTGGTGAGGTTTGATATAACAGATGTACTGGTTACATTTGTTCGTTATTCAGTCTTAGTCTATTTCTATATTTGCATATTAATAAGTCTATGTTTCGACTAGTGGGTTAGTATTTCTTTTGTCCCATATGTTCTATTGGTTGATATTGCTTAAACCGTGTGTAGGGTTGGCAATGCTTTCAACGAAGAAGCAAATTCTTTATGAAAGAACTTTCCTTAATGTATCTTATGACTTACAGCAATTGGTACTCTTATATGAACACGTCGTTATATGACTATTGCATGTAATAATAAGGTTCCTCAATATCTACTTACAGATCAACTAATGTATGTATAATAAGTACTTACCAATATGAATAGCTGTTACTGCGGCAATGAAAAATAGAAGGCTCTTTTGCTTAGTATCGGTTACATTTTCGTATTGCTCGTTTTCAGATTCTTCAGATTCTGAATATTCATACATATTGGCAATTATAAATTTAGAAGACTAACCTTAACTGCGAATTTTAAATTTTGAAATATACATCTAAACAATATTTTATTTATACATTTTGTTTGATATAATTTATTTGAATTATTTTAAATTTTTTGTTTAATTTTTCCGGCTTACTATGATTTTATTTTATATAAACCCACATAATCCGAACTCCTGCCCATCTTATCAACTATGCTGAGCAATAAAGAAAGGGGTCAATAAGTAAAACCAGAGTAACCAAATAGAAAAAAGTAGATGCCGATGTAAGAAATGACATCATTATTAGCCTACGGCAGTAAATACATATATATGAATGTCTCAAGTGTATCTAAATATTTATGTAGAATTTTTGAAACTACGTTCGTTTGCTATAGCAGCTGAGGATCTCATTGGTATCCACTTATATGGAATGGGGTACCCAGTATTTTTAGTTTAGTCGTACGCATTATTAACTTTTGGGTACTATACTCAGATATCGTATAATCATGTGGTGAGATGTGTCCGTTTTTATACTTTCCACTTCAGTTATAATTAAGTAGAGACCTACCTACAAACTGCTATTAGTTTTAGGAGTTTGCTTCCATATAACATTGTTTTGTGATATATTTAAGTAGTTTTACATTTTAAATACTTATGTTATTCTATTAGAGAGGAAATGCAATAAATTTATTCAATGTATAAAAATAAAAGAAAATATTCTGCACTCTTGCACAATTTTGCGGTGCAATCTAAGATGGAAATCTTAGACCACCTAAATTTTCTTATCTTTTTGATTTTTAAGTGAAATTTAATAATGAAGTCAAATCAGAATTTGATGTATAATTTGATAAAAGAAATTTTTTCTTATTGTCACTTCTATATGAACATTTTCAATGCTTTAAACGATTTATAAAATGTTCAATAAATTATCATTAACTGAGCCTGGGATATAATCATTCAAAAATTATTCTAAAATGTTCTTATCTGTTAGAAAAAAAAATACTTTAAAAACTTTTTCCTAAGATTGGGGACTTTTTATTTCATTAAAAATACTCATAAAGAAAATTTCAATCAGATCGGAGGTTTCGTGCACATGGCCATATGTATTATATCTTAATATTATTTTTTTAAACAAATTATATTTAAATACATATACATATTATATACGTATAACTAAATTAATATTTTTCTACACATTATTTACAAGGCTATTTATTTGACATTTTATATTAGATTTTTTAAAACATTTTTTCCCAAAAATTAGTAAAATTTCAATAAAATTTGAATTGAAATGGAAAGCTATTTATTTTTATATGTCTGTAATTACTTTATTTGAGAAAAACGTGTTTTAAATTGGGTACATAAAATATGAGTTGTAAGTAATTTTTGAATGCCAACTTCGTGTTTTTATCTTCTAAGACATTTGAATACTTGTTACTCAACAATCCAACCCAGAGGATAACTTTCTACATGACGCTCCATTTTTTTAATTTATCGTTAGATTCTTATTTGAGATAGATGTCACCTGTTTATTTGACGAAAATGTCCTTTCCATATTTTTATCCGATTCGTATAATTTCAACATGAAATAAAAGGGAAAGTTATTGAGGTCAGATCTATTAAATATAGGGAATCGTTAATCAATTCATGAGTATTAGCAAAATGGACTGTAAAAGTGTGTGGCATTGTGTTGTGTTGTTGATATAAATATTGTTCTCTATACCAATGAGTAGGTATTTTCACCTATTATGACGTTCAATTTTTCTAATACTGTTTCATAGAATGATTTTGTTATTATGGAATTTTTTTTAAAACTGTCAGTCAACAATATGACTTTGTCATTCCAAAAAATAATTGGCATGAAACTTCCACCTATTAAATCGATCTTCATCTCTTAAGGAAGCCTTTCATTTCTGTAATCTACTTTGTTAAGTATGTGAGATGGTGGATCCACGTTTATTTAACATTTAAAAAAATTTTAAAAAGTACATACTATTGTGATTAAACGTTTTTAACAAAGCTTTGTATTCTCCTATGTTTAAAGGATTGTATTTGTGATCCAAGGTCAATAAACGTGATTTATAGTAAAACTGAACTGCTTTAATCTCTATAAGTTATATGATTTGAATTTCATAATTATGCAACAACATTTACTATACTTTTTAAATGTTTTCACTAGTGGGAATAACTTTTGAATGTTCCGAATGGTCTTCACGAAGTAAGCTAATTGAAACCAACCATATGCTATACTATTGCTCATGTTGCACAATCCCCTAAAACTTCATCCTATTCGGCTTATATTTACATGGACGTATTATTTTTTAAAACTAAAACTTAACCTGAAGTCATCTGAAGATTATTGTTACATTTACTGACGACTCATTCTAATTTTATACCAATTTTATATCAAGTAACAGCATTAAACTAATCACAGACTCCTTGATTTTAGTAATATTCGTTTGGACTAGGACTACAAAAAATTATCAAAAATTCATAAAATCAAAATCGTATGTCCATATAACATTACGGTTACAATGGTATGCACAAATCACATCTATGTACGTAAACCAATATTATAATCCCAAAAATGTGAAATGCTAAAAATGTTATAAGTTAATCCTCCGCAGAAACAGACATTTTTGACTAATTAAAAGCTTTCACGCAACACCAAATATTTCGCATTAAAAACACGTTTAAAATATTTTGAATAACGCCGGATGAATACCGTGTACACTGTAAAAAATTTCCCACAAAAGAACTTTTAAAAACAAGAAATGTGTGAAATGCCAAAAAGTGAAATGGGGCCACAATAAAGTTTGAAGCGACTCAGCAGGTCGCCAATGAAAATATGTCTTTGTTTCAATAAAACTAAAGTAACTAACACCTCTGCATCCCGCCCCACTGCATCCTACCACTGGGTATGTTCATTGCACATGCTGTGCGGCTACTCATTCAGTTGTCATTTTCAAAATATAAAAAAACACAAAGTTAAATAAACAAAAGCAGGTAATAGACATTTATATTGTTGCTATGCTCGTGACAAGTTAGAAGCGATACGCCTCCTGACCTCCTCAGGCAGCATCCGTGAACGTGCACACATATAAAACTCAGTACACGTACCAAAACACGAGTGTATTGATGTGCGTGTGTTAGTGTCTGCTTATTGTGCACACACACAGCTGTAAGCGCAGGTAAATTAATCTTGATTATTTGCATTTAATTTATATTTGACCATGGAAATCCTGGGCTTAATTTGTACACAATATTTCACACTGAATGTTTTTGCGGCCATTTAATCTATAATCGCATTTAGTGAACTTTAAGTGAATGTGAAATGGCGAACAAATTTCGAATTTTAAGACATAAAATTGAAGTATTTTACATATCTAAGAAGTCTAACAATTTTAAAAAAAACATAATTCTTTCCTTCAAGAATAATATATAATAGTCAGGCGCTTCGAAGACCCTTTCAAAGTACCATGGTACGTCCGCACGAATGACATGCTAAGAGATCTTAGAATAGATCCGATCAAAAAATACGTAGGGGGTAGCCCTCTGAAGCTATATGCGAAAACCGACAGGCTGCCCTACTTAGCACTATCTAATCTCAAAGTAATCACTAACCGCACAGGGCGGTACGCAAATCTTAAATCAGTCATTGAATAATCACGAAGCATATGAGGAATACACAAATAAGTCAGTGAGATGGATGGCACTCTGCAGAAACCCCCCAGCTATCAAAGAGTAAAAGTCTCCAGATAATATAACTAACTAAGACATAATAGTTTAAAAGAATGAAATATTATTGTTATACTTAAGTTTCTATCAATTTTAATGTTTTTCTTCAGTCTCTTTCTAATTTTCTCATGTTATAATGAACACCTCATAATTATTTATTTGCTTTATGTTAGGTTGACATATTTGGAATTATTAGTTAAAGACATATAAATTTTAATTATGTTTACAAAACACACACAGTTAAGGTAACTCTAGTTTGGGTTCGAGGACATTATCATAGGTACAGCAAGGATCGAGCGCAAAGATGAGCTAGTAAGAATTAGCGTCTCTTCTATGGAATCTCCTGTTCCAATCCCTGTTTCTGCCAGCCACAGACCAAAGCTGATTTGTGACAATAAGAATTAATAATCATTAATCAAGAATCATCAATCAATAGTCAAGAATCAATAATATGCAAATAATTACATTGAAGTAAATTGAAAGTATCACGCTCGGTCCGTCCTGTCACATCTTTTATAATATATGTATTTTGACGCTCGAAGAGAAAACACCTGTTGTGTCTATGTTCAGGCTTAAATTTTTGGCCGCCCCATCTTTCAATAAACTCAGCGATAGCATTAGTATGGTTAGTTGGTTCTAATATGCCTATCATTCTCACCAAAATTACGAAGAATGTAAAATCAAACCGGCTTCTTAGTTAAGTAGAGTGAATTCGATCATCCACCTACTTTTAAAACAAATTTTTACACTGACTCTTCAATTTAAATTGGTCTTTAGTCTTTTTCAAGTTCTCCATATTTAAATTTGTGTATTACATTTAAATATTTCTATTACTTATCCCTGACAGGTTATCATTAAGACAGTTCAGACCAAGCTAAATATATTATTATTTAATAAAAAGAGATATATTATATTATATTATTATATCTTTTTATTCTTTTATAAGGTTCGCAAAATGAAAAAGAAAAAAATTTTTTGTTTGTCAATTTATATATTATTACTACTATAGTAGTACGATCAGCAAAATAGTGCTTTATGAATGTTACTACATTTGCAATTATATTTATGATTGTTCTGCTATAGCTCAAATCTTTCCATACTACTCTGATGAAGGTTATATCTCAATATATCTGCGAAAAATGTATAGAAAATAAGATGAAGCCTACTCATTTGGCAAGAACAATGTACCTTTCCAACACTACTCCAAGAAGGGTTAAATCTCATTACTCTATCTGCGTAAAATGTATAGAGAATAAGGTAAAGTTAGTATGTACTATAGTTGATAATGTGACAATAAACAACTATAAAAAAATATTCAATTATTCAGATCAATTACC